AGAGTCCGATTGAAGTCGAGCTGTTTGACTCGCCAAGTTGAAAAGTCCGATGCAACGCTGCGATCCGACGCAACTTTCTCGCAGGGATTATCTCCGCGAATTTGCCTTACTTTGCAGGCAAAGAGAGGCAAGGAGAGAATGAAAGATTCGTCTTTAGGTTAAAATCTCTTGCGGACAAGAACGAGATGAAAAATAAAATGAAATACATAGAACATCGACGCAACGTTTCGCGCAACGTTATTAAATAATCATAATCAATTGAATTCTTCTCTTAATAAAGAATCGAGAGAGAGAGAGAGAGAGAGAGAGAGAGAGAGAGAGAGAGAGAAGTGGGATCGTATCAGCGTATCGCTGCATCGAGCTTCCCGCGAGCTTCGCAGACGACGATACCGACCTGAGCTTGTGCCCGGCGTCCCGAAAGCGTTGGTCCCGACGGTAGAGTAAGTCGATCCGCTCGTGGAGAAGGTGCTTTGACCGCTGGAAAAAGGAAGAACGGACTGGGGTACGCTCGTGAGGCCCCCGAGGGTAGAATGATAGGGCGTGGTGGAGTACAGCGGCAGCGAGGACAGCGTGGTTTGCGTGATGTTCGTCTGCGGCACGGTGTAGTTGTGATGCGACAATTGGGTGTTGTAGCTGGTCGCCCCCGTGCTGTAAGTCCCGTTCGGATGCGACGCCATGGATAAACTCGGATATGTCGTTGCCTGCGCGCAATACAGATCGCCGTGGTTAAGCCCGGTCAGAGATATTAATCGGCGAGATATTAATCAGATCGGGGATCGGGGAAATCGGGGAGATCGGAATTGTGAAGTTGGTTCGGTAGCTTTCTTCAAGTGAGAAACAAAGTGACGACACGGATAAATGAAGAAGTCGGAGACGGCGCGTTTCCGAAGCTTCGCTTCGCGAGCGAGAGTCGATCTCCCGCGTTTAGCGCAGACTCGTGAAAAGCACCGAGAGTTTCGTTAGCTCGAAAGCTAACGAAAAATGTCCACTCGAGGGAGAGAGATTCGCGCGTGATTTATTGGCCGGCAAGGCCACACTCACACACACACACACACACACACCCGCCCATTCGCTCCCGCGGTATTTGCGAGGGAAATAATTACAATCGAACGAGGCAATCGATAGCAATGAGACGAGTCGTCAGTAGCCTCACCTGTTGACTGCCGTTCAACTGATAATTCTGGGCGGTCTGGGCAGGCTGTGTGTACTGGGGTAACACGCTCTGGCTGGCCGATGTCAGGTACGTAGTCGAGGCCGGATGCTGTTGCTGCTGCTGAGGTTGCTGCTGCTGCTTCTGTTGCTGCAGCGGCTGCTGATACGTTTGCGTATGCGGATAGCTCTCCTGGTACTGATTGCTTGTGAAGTGACTGTGCGTTTGTTGCTGCTTCTGCTGAGACGGTAGGGTGTTCTGGGAGTGGGAACTCGACAGCTCGAGCTGCGACTGCTGCTGGTACTGCTGGATCTTCTGCTGGAAAGCAGGCTGCGACTGGCTGCTGGAGAGTGACGGCGCCGGCGGTATCGGCTCGCTGTAGTGATACGGCGGTCCGTTCGGCGTCAGCGGAGGGCAACCGGGCATCATCGGTGTCAACGGCATCGGTGAGCCTGCGTACTGCGCGAACGGGCTCTCATTAGCGACCTAAGTCCCGCGCGGGGACGCGCTTGAAGACGCGCGGCATACTTACGTGGCCCAACTGGCTAGGCATTCCGAGATTAAGGGCATGCGGATGAGGTGGGTGCTGATGCTGGCCGAGATTGGGAAGATTCTCCGAGCTGGACCGAAGGATACCTTGCGTGACCGAGGGTTGCTGCGTCGTTATCGCGCCCCGCGTGTGATCCAGTTCGTGTAACATTCTACCGGAACTGTATTTGTTTTAATTAAACAGTATCGTGTCGGCGCATCCTGCGGTATTTCACGTACGGCTCGCGAGCGTTATCGTTATACGCGAACGTATGCAACGGGAGGGGGGGGATATTCTACGTCTCTTTTAGAAATAAATTTCTCTTTGTTACATCCCTCTTAATTAATTATTGGTTAATTAATAATTCCTCTCAAATTTCTCTCTTCAGTTTTGTCGCAATTTTTTATTTACTGGCGCAAGAATGGACCGTTGATTCGATTCATTGTTGTTAAAGAACGCGGTGAAAAATTTGCTAAACGTTTTTTTACAACATTTTGTAAACATACATGACAACTCACAGAAATTCACAGAAATTTACACGTTCCTTATAAATTCGTATAAATTCTCCTCAATTTTAGCATTTCTTCTTAGCAAGTACTGCAATATCGTGCGAAGAAACGTAATGGCGTTTCGCCAAGGAATGTAACAATTTTTTCAACAAACATCCTAAATCCTAAATTCGAATTTATATATATTCACACGTCACGTATTATTATTTATACTCATATAAATTTTTCTCTTCATCTTACCGAATTTTTTAACAAAACCCGGGAATAAATAAGGAACTACTTCCTAAGGAATCCTAAGGAACGCGCGATTCAACTTCACCGCGGGAACGTGGGGAGTTCTTTTCGAAAAAGACTAGACTTCAATTGCTGAGACATAAATAACAGATATGCGAGACGCAGGGAGATGACGAATCAAGGCAAAGTCGGCTACTACAGAACCCTCCAGTAGCATAATCCTGGTAAAACTCCCTACGAGAAGACGCGCGCGCGCGCGCGCAAAGAAGGGCCGACTTCTTGTCCGTGGAGGAAAATTGCGTCTCAACGACACGCCTGCGTACCTATTGTCCTGCTCGATCTTGGCGATGATCCGATCGATCTCGGTGCCGGCCGGCGGCCAAGTGGACGTCGGCACGCTCGTGGACGTGACGTGCCCCACGACCGGTCCTCTGCTCCGCGCACGTTTCAGGCTGGTCAGCTCCAGCGACAGCTCCTCGTGCTTCACCATTTGCAGCTCGGTCTTCTTCTCGAGCTCCCGGATCTTCGACTGCAACGCCTCGACCGACTCCGGGCCCTGATAGAGTCCTGCTATCTTCTCCCGCAGCTGGTTCTGTGCTTCCGCATGCTGCCTCTCCAGATCCGCCCGTCGGGCTTCCGTCTCCCGCATTTGCTGGACGAATCGAGCGGATGGTTATTAGCGAACTGCTGAGCTCCGTCGACGTTCGACGTCGACGAAAGTGCAAAAAAGGGATATTCTTCCTGATATGTGTGACGCGGTAACGAGTTGGCTTGTACTTTCATGCTAACGTTTCATTCATCGGTCGAGGCACCTCATGGTGGTTTTCGTTTTGAGACATGTGGCCTGAATCTGACACGCCACGACGGTTGGCACGTTGTCGCGTTCGCGTACGCGACGTTGTGGAGATTCATAAGACATCGAGGCGATCTCGTATGTGTTACCGAACGAACCGGGACGACGGATAAAATAATAAAAGAAAGGACAGCGGCAGGGAGAGGGAGAGAGAGAGAGAGAGAGAGAGAGAGAGAGGGGGAGGGAAGAGAGTGAAGATACTTCGGTTCGACTTTTGCGGTCACGAATCTCCGCCCTTAATAACCCGGAGCGACGTTCTAGTTGGGTACGCAATTCGCGACAGGAATGTCACGTTTGTAATGAAAAGGGAGGCTTTTATACTCCCGATGCCCGGAGCTGCGCAACCGAACTACTGCTGTACGTAATCCAACGAAAAATCTCCCTCTCACCCCCTCTCTCTCTCTCTCTCTCTCACTGGCGAAAATGATATCGAAAGGAGAAAAAAAGGATAAAAAAAGGAGTAAAAAAACACGATACGTAATATCGATATTCCGCGCGTCGATCCTCGCGCGCTGCATCGGCCGCTGCTTAATGACTTCTTCCCAATTAGCCCGGGGCAATTAACGGGTCGCACGTACATACATACGCGGATCGTTCTGTAATCTGCAGAATTGCTTACCACTTGGCTTGAGATTAATAGCCTAATTATCTAGATTGCGACGTGAACTTGTGTCGCGCGCGGGGTCAGTATTAATTTCCTGCGTGCAGATTCCGGGGGACGCACTTGAAGCGCGCCGCGAAGGCCGGCACCGGCAGAGACATAAATTTCAGCCGCTAACAAAGTTTAAGTGGTTTATTTTACGCCGCGGTGAGGCCGCGAATTAAAGTTTCCTCGTGCGAGCAATCGCGTCGCCCCGGAACGCATTAATAAAAACTTTTATTTTTCATATTATGCCGGCTTATCGAGTATCTGGCGGCGCGGCGGCAGTGAAAGAGAGCTTTCCGCGCGCGCTGCGATTCATTGCCGATGGTTTACACGTAACTTTTACTCGCGTGGGCTCCTGCCTGCGTGTGTGTTTATGAATATTGATCACATGCATATTACCTTTCCCACGTAATCAACTTTAATTTCAAGGACTTTTGGCTTTCGCGAGAAGCGCGCGCGCACGCACGCGCTTTCCGCGATCGCGGATTCGTTGACACGCGTTTTTGTCGCGAGGAAGAAACGTGCTGAATTTTCGGCCCCCTGCGAGCTAGCATTTTGTGGTCACGTCGAAGCTGCTTTCTTCTCGCGGGCGTGCAACACGCGAATAAATTACTCGACGACACGACTATCAGTGATAACAAATTCTCAGAAAGGTACTTGATTTATCGTGCCGTGTCAGACTTGATTTATGCGCGGGCGCGTGGAGTAAAAATTCGCCCGGAAATTAATGACGAAGTGTACAGAAGTAATTAATTAATTAATTAGTGAGAGAAAATCCCGTTCTGGAAAAGAACAAGGAGGTGGATGAGTACAACGGAGAGATTACAATCGACGACAATCGAGAAATTAATGGGTTACCCTTGATGGTAACGCGAGACAAGAAAGTCTAAAGGGATTTAAGGGATCAAACAAAATTAAACGGGAAGAGTATCGAGAGAAGAGAGCGGAGAAGATGAACGAGAAGGGAAATTCACGACGTGTGACACGGCGTAGAAGTATCGAGAAATTCGCAAAGTCCATCGAGTCAAACCGGACACGATCGCGAGTCGGCGAGTTTGGCTCTCTCTCTCTCTCTCCCCCTCTCTCCTCTTCTTCTTTCTTCCCGAAAGCGACAATGCGGCTGAGCTCACCTCCAGGATGGATTCGAGAACTGCGTCCTGCATAATGGTGGTTCTCGTGGAGGTGGTAGCCCCGACAGCGGATCCGGTCCCCTGCAGCTGCGGAGCCTGAGGTGCCGTGGAAACGCCACCTCCAACACCACAGCACTGCAACATCCCTGAAGTCTGAGACCCTCGCCAGTCTTTATCGCGGCCGGTCCTTATCGATCTAGCGTGTGTCTAGGAGCTATCTTAATTAATTGGCGGCCTTTGCGCGCGGCGGCTTGCCGGGTCGCGCGCACCACGACGACGAGATCCCCCACACACGCTCAACAGCGCGAGTCTAGCGCACCGCGAACGGCAGGGACTCTGATCTCGGCCGGCACGTGGACAGCCCGTTGCGGGAACGAGTGGAAAGTTGCCCCCGTGGCTCGCAGATACGGGGCGACCTCGCGTTTAAAGGGGACCAACGCTCGCTCGGACCGGACTCGTCGGCTCGCCGCTAGGTATCGGATCATCCTAGGAGGGGACACGCACACGCTTGCGGGGCTTGCGCACACTCGGCGATTATGCGTGATTTCGTGCGGCGAGAGTGCTGCGCTGAGACTTTGGGATTTTCAGGATACCCGGGGCAGGCGGGGGTACTAACGGCGGGGCTCGTAGTTATTCGAAATATTCAGCAGCCGGTGCTTCGTTTCGTTAGTTCAAAGACGAGCGTGTAGAAGTCAGCTATAAGCACCAAAGCAGAGAAAGAATTAAGGAGTCGTACATCCAGTCACATCCCATCGAGAACCGCAAGGCCGCGCGACGCGCGAGGTTCTCTCGTCTTGCGATTTTGTCTCGTTTCTCCGCTCGCGCGCAAAGTGCACTGAGAGAAAAGTATATGATATTTGGAACTATCGTGATATAGTAACTAAATTATAGTCCGATATATTATATTTATAGTAAGTATTACCATAATATCATCGTATAGCCATATAACCAACCATATCATATTTTTACTAAGAATTATAGTAGTGCAAGTTAAACTGAAATTATTCTATGGATGCAAATATAAAATGGTAGGTAAAAGTAACCCTTTTGTATGGTCAACATTACCAGAATACTTGCTAAATGATGACAGATGTAACTATATTAATATTAAATCTCACTATATTTGAGAATGAGAAATTACCATATATGTGGTAAAAGTAACTAAACGATTATTTAAGACAATCATTGACTATATATTTGCGTTTATTCTACTATATTTTCCACGAACTATAAAAATATGGTTGACGCCAAAATTAACTGTAAAGTATAGTGATTGAATTATAGTTAATTCAACTATATTTTTCCATCAGTGTACGGCGGCCAAATTCGGCTTCGAGAGTTTTAGCCTCTCCCATTTGCGAATTCGCCGCGAGAATTCATCATCGAGTGACAAGTCTCGGAATCAAAGATGTTTCTTTCATTTTGCCGGTCGCGCGGAAAATTCGCGGACTAATTCGCCGACTTCGAGGTTCCGCGACGAAAGTCTTCAAGTATTTTCCGAACGATCGTCAAAGTGCTCTAATTTCAATAAAGCTTGAAATCGTTAGTCTGCTTTAATTGCAAGTCCCATTATCGCCGTCCACAAAATACGGTCTCTCTCTCTCTCTCTCTCTCTCTCTCTCTCTCTCTCTCTCTCTCTCAGGACGTACTCGCGATCGCGTCTCTCCGCCGATTTCATCGCTCGAGCGTCGCGCTCCCGCCGTTTCTCGCCGCGAATTCGCCGCGGGATCGAGCTCCGAAGTTTCCAAGTCGACGTGATTATCGGCAACAGGTACTCGCGCCAAGTGTTTCGATCGGGCTTATAATCCGCCTAGAAATCCTCGTCTCGCGACTTCGCGCACTACGATCGCTCGAACGCGTCGCGGTGAACCCGACCGACCGCCGCCGCGGCCGGACAGCGTGCTTCGCCGCGTGGAGTGGGCGGTGTGTGTTAACCGTGTACGATCGCGAGTTATTATTATCAGCCGCGTGTTACAGCTGCATTGCAACTGCGCGCGCCGAGATTTCGTGCGATTTTAATAACACGTCGCGTGCGAGCGACTTTCGCTCGATCGCTCGGCTTCTCGCGCGGCGAGTCGGCGCGATCGAAAGAACCCCACACCGCACATGCATACGCACATGCACACACACATACGCAACAACACACACGCGCACCGACGCGCACACCGCACACGGCTACGGGAATCTCGTTAAAGCTGCACGTCACGACAAGCGGCACGTGTCTCGTCAGCGAGGCATCAATCGGCGCAGTTACGCTCTCTCGCAGCCGTCGAGAGCTCCGTTTATCTCGCGTCCGTGCGCCGATATAGCGAAAAGCGCAGTTAACTTTGCGCCACGGTCAATCGAGCCGGCCAGTCCTTCCCTTCGTCCCTTCCTGCTTATCGCGAAGGATCAAGTATAATCGCCAGCTTTCGACGCGCAGCGCGGAGAAGCACGGGCGATTATCTCTCCCGAGCCGATTCCCACGGACGGTTCGCTCGGCTGGCAAGGAGCGGAGGAGGAATTTGGAGGTGAAATTGGCGTCTGCGAGCGAGATTAGAGCGACATCGGCGGCTGGGAACTTTGCGGAATTAACCGCGGCGGCAACGCGCTTGAGGAACCACCCCGGACGTATTTGATCGAGAAATTGGTTTAGATTTCGTCAAGTCGCACTCGGCGCAACTTGGAAGCGCTCGTTCTCCGGTTTACCGCACGCACGTAATTTCCAGAGGAGGAGGGTTAACAGGCGAAAGAGATTTCTTTTGATAAATCGCATCGGACGCGTTTCGCTTGAAGGGGGTGGAATCGCCGGTATCCGCAGCCGAATTTGCCGCTCGTAAGAGCCGGAGATTCGCGTCCGCTTCGTTTTACTGTCACGTTGATTCGAGCAATCTTTCCTGTCCGTGTAACGTCCGGGTGATGCCTCGGCGTTGCCGTCAGGGTGAAGGGAGTTGTATCACCTCGACGGGGAAATTTCTCCGCGCCGAGGGAGGAATTCCGCCGGCGAGAGAAGTCACGGGGGGGGGAGTTGCACGCGGGGGAGAAAAACGCTTGCTCGAATGAAGGAATCCGCCGGTGAGATACGGGAGCGATAGGGGAATTCCGCTCCAGCTTCTGTCAGAATTCGGTCCAAATTATCCAGATTTCTGCTCAACTTAAACAGGATCTTCCGGCATTCTCAATCGGAATCTCCGAGAATCGTTCATACTTCCCGGCGGAAAACTCGTCCGCTCGATCAGACGCGTCTCTCTGCGTGCACGTGCGCGTCGTCTGCGCGAAATATCTCCACTGAGATACGACCGAAGAATCCGTGTGGAAAAAAAACGCGATACAGCTCGCGTGAAGAAGAGCAAGAACGTGCCGTGGAAAATCGCTCGCGCTCGTCGTGCAATCGGCGAGGCAAACGCGAGGCAAAAATACATCTGCACCCCTTCTACCCTCTCTCTCTCTCTCTCTCTCTCTCTCTCTCTCCCCCCCGCTCACTCTCTTTCTCACTCTTTAATTAACTCTCCATTATCGTGACTTAATAATAGCAACACTCCCGCGCGCACGCGCGCGCTTTTATCTTTTGATACATTTAATTGGCGTGCATTCTCCAGCTCTTTGTCGCCTTTTCTTCGGCCACGCTAACGAATACAATGAGAGCGACGATCGGGATGTGATCCGCCGTTGGCTGACACACCGGGGCTCACGCCATGTCGGGCGAACAATCGGCCGCGCCGTTACGTTGCTGTTACGTTGTAACAGCGACGTGCACGCACACGTAGAGACGGAGGAGTGCGTTGCGTGCGCCAAAAATACGCGCGATGAATCGGACGATGCGACGCTACTCAAAAGCCCAGTTAATCGGCTGCCGAGATAACACGACCGCGCTCAGGGGAAGGGGCATCAGCCCGGGGGATGGGGATGAGGGGAGACGAGGGGAGGGCAAGCGCGAAAATTCTTCCGACGCGAGCGGGTTCTCGCGAGCGCAAAATTATACGCGCATACTTTATCGCTCCCTCGCACGTTCTCCGCGAGATACCGCGAGATAGGAGGAGGAGGCGGGGGGGGAAGTGTGAAATTTCCCCGCGGCTGGAGTCGTTTCCGGTTCTTTCTCCTCTCCATCCCCTTCTCGGCAAGTTCCCGGCCCGAGAACCCCGAGTTGACGGTCATCGCGTTTAACGCCTCCTGGGACTCCCGTATGAATGCCGAATTATCGATTTCGCTCGGTCGCACGCGACTCGGGGGCTCCTCTTCGGCGAATTCGCGTCTTCTCGTTCGGGCCGTCACTTCGGGGTAGTTTTCTTCGCGGCTCGGTTCGTTAACCCTTCTACGACGACTGCCGATCCACGAGCGGCGTCGTCGCTCGTGCCGGATAATCGACTTCGGACCTACGTACGTGTTCGATTGAGCGCCGATGAAAGCGAGAGTATGCGAGAGAGAGAGAGAGAGAGAGAGAGAGAGAGAGAGAGAGAGAGAGAGAGAGAGAGAGAGAGAGAGAGAGAGAGAGAGAGAGAGAGACAGCGAGGGGAAGAGATACCAAGAGAGAGGCAGATGGAAAGAGGAAGAGTGCGAAAAGCGGAATTCCGCTCGAGCGCTCGAGCGAACGAGAACGGCAAGAGGTTTGCGACGTCCGGGACTGCGCCCGAGTTCTCCGTCGACGACACCGAGATGTATCGCGACTCGCCAGCGGCTGTCATTTACACGTGTCACAGAGCACTTGATATCCTCGTGCTGACAGCACACTTCTTCCTCAAGTTCACGAGAGACTTCGGCTTCGAGCGGCGGTGTCGATCTGCCATGTCGCGCCGAGATTGCGGACAACCCCGCGGCCAGGATGGCGATTCGACGTCCACGCGGTCTTCGGAATACGCGGAGGCGGTGAGGTTATCGTGAGGAGCAAGTCACTCGCGACGGAGATCAATACCGCGGCTTTCATGGGGCCGATAACAACACCATGCCGGACGGAGAAGCGAGCGCGAAGCGTA